ATTCATTCCTTCTCCGGGGCTATTAATCTTTTGTAGCACTTGAGTCAGTTCTCCTCTCAGGAAAGGGACACAAGACTGAGCTTTTTATTAGCATTATACACAAAAGGACTTGGACCACTTAAGTGCATGTGTGTCATTGTATTTCACTTTGAGTGATTGATTGAGTGGTAGATAGACAGACATACGGAGACAGATAAACAGACATATTTCAGCTTTTAACAGTTAAATGGTGGTAATCTCACGTCTCAGCACCAATATTAAGGGACCTCATAGGTTAATTCCATTATGAAAATTCCAAAGAACAAAAAATAATTGATTTTGGCAGAAAAGTTGCTTTTCTTCTTACTTTTCACCTTTTAGTATGGAATTGACCTCTACTTGTTCAGTTGCAGCTCCTAACTCTAAACGCGTAAGAGGAAAATTCATTCAGCAAAATATAGCAACGATGATGCTTTGTCAGGCCTAGCAGACACGTACAATGGCAAAATGCTTGGCCTTCAGACTGATGGCATTTCCACAGTCTTAACCCTCCTTTAACTGTGGCTGTTAAATTGTCAACTTGACTCAAGAGATTCCTTTTCATTGTACTTCATTCCCATAGTTTGGATTATCCATGTGGAGCAGATGTGTAGCTTACATGGGAAAAGAGCATTTAGGGACCTGGTACAGTATCTTGTTTTCTGCTACATGGATAACATGGCCCAAAAAGAAACAAACTAAACTTTATTGTGTCGCATTGAATTTCAGGCACGACAAATCCTTTCACCAGCAGTAAACTGGAATCCCAGTAGGACTCTGAAGGCTACATTGTTACACTGCACTTCTTCCATTTCCCAGCGTGGCTGAATCTTTCAATGTACATTAAGAGAAACAAAACCCCCATGGCGTGCCTAGATTCTGCAATATTCACGTTTAACAGAAATGTCAGAGATCTCTTGGGTAATGCTCAGAGAAAGTGCAAAACACAGTCCTTAACCTCTACCACGCTCCATCAGAGAGGACACAGAATGGTTGATCTCCGATGTATGTCCTTGGTGTGCAAGATTAAACAGACATGTACTCCCTGCTCAGAAGGAAGAAAAACCATCCTCCTAGCCCTGGATCGTTTCATCACTGTTCAGAGACTCCCATTAAATGCTGAGGCAGGAGGGATGGCAGCAATCTGAAGAAGCCCGACATTCAATGAGACACCATCAATGAACAATTACTGCAAAGCAAGTGTGACAAGAAGACTAGCAGAATAATTACAGTATCTTTAGAGTTCTTTCTGGAGAATATACAGATTGTTTTTAAAGCGCTAATATTCTAATGAAAGCTAATGAAAGTCATAGGAAAACTACGATTAAGTTATTCTCTTTGTGGTGTGCACCCCGTTTTAATTTTTACTCAGTAATCAGGAATCAAAAATGCTAAATAAAACAGGATAATGCTTATGGGTTTAATGTAATTTGCTGCCATTTATAATGCATTTTACTGTACGTGGATCATATCACTGTTAACTACTACTGTTTACTATCACAAGTGTAATAGCAACAGTGCTGACCAACGTTTAATAATCACATATAGACTGGCACATTTGTGCATTTTCTGTTAAAAATAGAAATCAAGGGTGGGTAGCAGGTGAAGTTATTCTTTTCTCATCAGTGCAGACGTACTATATTCTATATAACAGTGCGTACTATAATTGTTTTCTCCTGAACTTTTGAAAGTCTTTGAACAATCCGTGTGGTAACTACATGCACACAGGTCTTTCCAAATAACAGGAAAAATCCAAGCTCTGAGGAAACAGACCCTTTTTCTCCTGGTTGCAGAATTCTTGCCAGGCTGTCCCGCTCCTTGGTGATGGAAAATAAGGAAATGCACAGCCCACTTTAGGATGAAAAACTGCACACCGAGAGCATACCTCTTTATCACTATACAATTCCATAAGGGGGAAAGCTATTACTGATGATAGCAATTCCCCTGCTTTCTAGGCAGATGTTACCACTATCAAGGCAGCTATTCTCCATGGCAAGAATTTCAAACTGTATTGCGCCCCAGGGTGAAGTGCAGATCATTAGTCTCTTGAGAAAAAAAGGTAAGATATCTCCTCAGAGGAAGAATAAGCTACTATACTTCTTGGAAGATTTAAGCATACAGCCTCACTCTGGAACAGTGAGTGGCTGATCTCTCAATGTAGATAATCTAAGATAAAAAATCTGACACCTTTAAGACAAGCGTTATGAGATTTAAACAAAATCAATTACACATTATACAGTATATGTTCAGCAAGTTGTCTTTGACTACACAAGTGCTAGCTCACAGCTGACTGTTTCCTTTTGTTTGTTTGGTTCCTAGAGGTAAAGAAACTCATTGGCATCTCCTGTTAAATATGTCAAGCTTTTCTGCCTAAAACAAGCAAACAAGCAACATATTTCTGATATGGTATATCCATACGAAGAACAAGCACTACTAAAGTTACATCAAACCTCAAGATCTACATGAGTTTTTATCATGCAAGTTGTGGCTGACCTCATCCATTCGCAGACAGGACCGTGAATGAAACATTTTCTTGGAAGACTTCTAAAAAGATTATTTTTAATGCTTTTTTCCCCTACTTTGAAGCAGATACATTGTCAAGTTTCAGCCATCAGACAAAAGCCTTTATAATGCAGATGAAGAAAATTCAAAAGAAACCCACTGTGTAGCTGCTATTCTATTTATTTTGTGGTTACTTAGGTGTTTAGGGATTATTTAAACGCCAGTATCCAAAGACAGTTTCTAAAGCTTTTTTTATCTTGACAACTGCATATTTGTAAAAGACAGAAATTGGTACTCTTAATAGCTTAGAAATGACATTTACAGCTCAACAAAACAAACAAAACCAGTCATTAAATATAAGTTTGGGGGTGCAGCTGTATGGTAGAACAAGAAATGCTCTTTCTCAGATTAAACTGCTCTCTCCTTACTGGAAACAATGGCTTCTGAATCCATTGCAGATTCAGTCGCTAAGAGGTTTGTAGCCAATGATTTTTTGTTGTGGTACACCCAATATACTGGGATAATGATGTGATTAAGCTCACTCATTTTCCTGTTTTGCTTTGAGGTCGAGCAATTTAAAGCTCAGTAAAAATGTCATGGAACAGACATTAAAGAAAAGGTACGATATAATTTACTATAACTTTCATTACAGTCATCATATTTCAATGTTTGATTATAATTCTGACAATTTCAAAACCATATCAAGACTGGAAGGTGTGTTCTGAAGTGTTTTTTTTTAGAAGAAAAGGCATTAAGAGACACATGATCAAAACGTTTACCAGTATTGAATGGGCTTTTAAAAATACATAGGAAAACAAAATTAAATCAATAAAGTTTCCATCATAAAATAATTTTAAACACCTTTCACAGAAGTCAATTAAATCACCAATGATTAATCATATTGCCTTTTATGGCCTTTTTATTTTTCAATAAAAAGTTGTTCTTTTCAGTCAAGGAATAATTTTATTTTTTTGTTATGATAGTCTTTTTCAGTGTGACTACATCAGTTTTGCATACTGTATGAATGTTTTACCAAATGGACTAGATTTGCCAAATGGCCTCTTCTTATTTGTCACCATTATGGTTTAAAGTCTTTTCACCAAGCTGTAATGAAGCAACAGTGTTTTCCTGATGGTTTTAAATACAAAAAGTCACGGGAAATTGTGAAATGAACGCGTGTTTCACAGGCCCTCGCCTTTTGTGAGTCTGTTTCCAGCCCTATCTTGTTACCGGTTTAGAGCACTCTCTCTTATCTCAGAAACAAATGGCTACAACACAGCAGCTCTAAAGAGAGAAGTCATTTATCTGTTTGACATGTGCTTCCTTGTTTGCTTTCTCCAGCCTTGAGACACCCATGAAAGCTCTGACAATATTGAACCGCATCAACTCTAACTTCTCTATTCATGCCAGTTGTATAAATCACTCCTACATGCCACTTACACAGCTTAATACTATAAATCCCCAAATGTAATCAATACTTACCTTTTTAGGATGTTACAACTATTTTTTACGCATCAGTCTGCAAGTGCAGTAGACTGCTAGAACCGACTGTGAAGGTATACATTGGAGGAACCTTAAAAAAGGGCTTTTGCACAGAGAGAAAAAGAGGCAACATGCTCTTTTTGGACAGAAAAGACAACTGCAGTTTTCATAAGATTTCACAGTAAAATGGGCATACTGTTTATAGTAATAGAGTACAAACCCCCCCACAAAACACTGCAAGGTCTTATAAAACTTTTGCATTTCTGTTACTATTAAAGATCTTAAAATGTGCGTTTCTGCAGTGTATATGTACTGTATATACAGTACACTTTAAATATGGGGACTTGACGTAAACGTATAGACATCAGCTGAGATCCAACCACATGAGAAACACATGACTGCCAGCTAAATGAATTCATACAAGCCAGAGGAAGCCTCATTCATGTAAAAATGCAGAGGTTTATGAACAGGCATTGAAGGGGGGTGTGTAGCTGGTAGGTTGGATGCTAGAAGCTTTCAAAGTTTCATAATTAGGTATTTCAAATTTATGTACAAAGATCATTAGATAAGAGACAACAATACAGACAGATATACTATATATAAAACGTCACACACTGAAGCCACAGACAGATAAGCATTTGTGTAATATGTTCAGTATTTGTCCCTCTAAACACGGGTGGCTACACAGGAGAAATGTCTGCATATGAAATGAGTCACAAAACTACATTTACTGTCAAATATAGGTAGCAGTATTCCAACTGAAAAAAAAGATGGGGATTTAAAGGGAAATATGATTTTGTATGAAGAAAGCATTTTTATTTTTTAAGTGGAGTCGCTGCACTCTGCTGTGTTGTGTGGCCGGAAAAGTGTAACGTCTGCAGTCGCTGCTTCCTTTTAATGTCACTCTTAATTCTCAGCACAGAAAGAATCCCCTCAAGGAAAATGGTGTGCAAAAATAAATGTAGTAATTTAAGACTAAGACCACCAGACAACGGTGGAGACAGGAAAGGGATTTATTTTCATTTACATAAAACATGTGATATGTGCTCAAGAAGTGCCGACAAAGAAAATAAAGAGAGGAAACACAATAGTGTACATTCTCCCACTAAATCCTGCCAGGGTAAATTCATTTTCTGGTTTAAGTTACAGTAGGCTGCTCTTTTTCTTCTTTATATATCTGAATAAGTGGGTCTTGAATGTCAATCTTCTAACGTTTTTTCCTGGATTAGCATATTGCAATACCTCTTTTTAAAACAGCTGTTCAAACACTGGTCATAATCTGCTTAAGTTAAATTTAACATGAAGATGTTAGAAAATCTAGGGTCCAAGATGTTCCATTACTTTAAAGGTAAAAGGAGTATACTCGTAAGATAAAATACACATTTTAAATGTCTTAATTTTATAATGCTGTTAGCATGGAATTCAATAAAAATGAAAAATGCTTTTGCTCGATCCGCTGTCCCTTTTCATCTTTTTTTACTTGAATGCATTTGTTTCTGGTATTTTAACACACTAAATCTGCTTCTTGTAAGAATCACATTATATTTAATGAGACAGAATAATCATATGAAAAGAAAGCTAATGCATGCTAATCAGAACAAACCCAAAACAAAACTATTAACAGCATTTTTAATGGACATAAATTGCCTCTGAAACATGTTTAAATCAACCATGTAAGATTACAACAGAATGTTTGTTAAGACATTTTTAGAGAACAGACCATACAAACTCAGAATTTCTTCTGAGGATTCAACACTCACTTGTTCTCGTTCTCAAACAAACGTATTCTTAGATATTCATCTTTGGGAGAGAATAAAGAGCCTGTGAGTTTCCCTTTTCTAGTCTTTTACCACATTTCATACATGCAACTCTGCCTCACTGTGTGAAAAAAGGGGTTAATGCAGTCTGGCGCTGAATCCCTTATCTCTCTCTCTGTACTCATGTCACGCTCTACGAACCTTCTACATCATCATCACAGTCTGCTATGATTAGCAAAGGGTTTCTCTGAGGACACACCTCTAAAAAAGTCCCCTGAGAAGCTGCGGTTTCTGCTGTTGCTGGCCTCAGCACTGTGTGCTCTGCAGATTGCACAGAAGGCTTGTCTCGTTCTCCCTGAACAACATCACAGCCCCTGGAATCGGTGCCTTCAGGCTGCTCGGAGATCCTCACCACTGAGCACACTTGGTCCCCCAGCTCTTCTATCAGTTTTCTGGGCATTGGCTGAGACAGAGGGAAGCCTGGTAACTTCAAAAATAATGGTTCCTCCTCACCCCGAGGTCCTGCCTCACAGTCTAAATGCTGAGTGACTGGATTTGCCTCAGGAATATTTGCTGCTCGAGGCGGGCTAGCCTTTTCCAGAACGCAGCTCTGCAGCCTGTCAAGGCTGTCCTCCTTGTCAGAGCTGCACTCATCTGTCTCTGCGGAGGAGCTGCTGCTGCTGCTAGAGCCATCGTCTTCCTCGGAGTCCTCCTCGCTGTCTGATTCTGGAATGCTCTCCCTGTACCTGGCTGCTTGTCTCGAGTCTTCCTCCTCCTCTTCTACTTTCACCAGCTGCGCCGCAGTTTCCAGCTCATCCAGTTCTAATTCCAGGTCTGATTTGCGGAGTGTGGCTTTCTTTAAGTACTCAGTAAGAGCCCTGACTTTTTTGGACCTGCATGAAGAAGACAAAATGCACTGTTTAGGCAAGTATGATATAACTAGATTTGGGCATAACACCAGTGCAAAAGTACTTAAATATTTAAGAATTTTCCCAACTTAAAAACATAAAGGAACAACGACACAGCATTTATCTTGTCATTTAAAAGAAATTTCAAGTCACCTAAATGACATTTTTAAAATGTGACTTTGTAGTGTGAAATACTTAGAGCCATTCAATATTTTTACATGAAAATACACTGTAAATTGTTTCTATAAATGATCAGATTTTTGTTGTGTGAGTGTTTTAAAAAATATATAACTACCAATCTACACATTAACTTATGTTAAAGTTATGCACAATATTGAAAACATCTTCAACTGTTATTTCATACTTCACCATTCTTTCCTTTCAGTTTTGTTGGATCACAAGTGCTTTACTGAAGCATTTTGCAGTGAGTACAAAGAAATTTCAAAAGAGAATGTCAACTGAAACTAAAAAACATGGCATTAATAGGGCCCTTTAAGGTACAGCTCAGGTGTTGTAACTAGAAACACTTCACTGCTTTCAAGCCTTTGCAAGATAGCAAAAAAATCTCTTGACATTGTTGCTCTTAATCATTAATCTGCAATTATTTTACAACAACAGACTTCTAAAAAAATGAAAACAGCAGTCAATGTGTTTTCACTAGACCCTAATTTTCAGTAATTATGCCTATTGACTGTCTTGTGTGTATATTTTTAACCATTATTATCTAGAATTATTAAAATATGATGTGATCATTGTATAGTACATATACTGTATCTCTGTTCTGTTAAAGATCTGCCAAGGGCAAATTTAAAGGGACGTTGCATGACAGAAAATAAGCACTGAAAATGCAGAAGACTACTCATCTCACATCCCGTATTTTCCTGGAAAGCCAGGAAAGGGATTGCTGTAAGTGCTGATAAAGAACTCAGGCAGATTAGTGAGCATTACAGTCACAGCAGGCATCACCAGGTTCCAAACACAGGATCAAAGAAACCGTTTCAATTAAACAATCAAACACTGAAGGAGAGCTAGTGAGTGAGGAAATGGAACCTGAACTGGTTTCTTCACAGCGAAACTAGGTGGTTTACAAACTATTTAAAAGACACTGCTCAACATATAAGCTGGCTCTGAAAATAAATACCCTGAAAAACTGAAGCAACCTTTATTTTTACCCTTCAGAACAATACGAATCAGGAAAAACAAATAATGGAAAAGTTCAGAAATGTATATCAAAACTGCTCCTACTAGTTGGACTGCCAAGGCATTTTTCTGCTTCACTGAAACCATGTAATATATGTAAATAATCTTACTTGGTTAAGTTTTCTAATTCCTTAGCATTCTTCATGTTCAATGGGCGTTTTTGGATGCACTGTGCTAAAGGAACCGTGACTGCCTTCTCTCCCATTTGACATGCCTGTGACACCACAACCCTTGACAGCCATCAGGGTTTGAACCAGGCTGAAAGCCAAAACCAGCTTTGTGCCTGAACGCTGTTGCATTATTGCTTCCAGCCACTTACGAGATCAAGTGATGGGTGTGAAGATTGGATCTACTCACAATAACAGGCAGTACTGGCCAATAATGAAACACAGCAACTAAGCTCGAAGCTCCTTGTGCCTCTTCTCCTGCATTTCAACAGAAGTGGTTACTTTCGCGTGAGGAGACTCCACCCAGAGTCTTTCATTTTCATGTTTCCCAAAAATATAGAACACAACTCTCATTTATGGCAAATGCCAGACTGAGCAGAGATAAACTAAAAGAGGGAGGCTGCATAAACAATGCTTCATTTTAATTAGGTTCAAATAAGAACACAGGCTCCTGGATAAATCCTCGCTTTTATTTGCACTTGCTTTATTTCTTTCCAGGAGCATTATGTGTATCTCTAACAGTTCTCCTCCCTTGGGTGCCAATTATTTTTTACGTCTCCGAGGATTAACGTCCCACTGCACACAAGGCTCTCGAAAGGAAGACCACAGTTGTGACTGAAGGGTGTGCATGAGCCCTGGTGTAAATATGTGCTTTACCGTAGAACCACTCTTTCAATGATAACCCACTTCTCACAGAAAGGTCTGAAAAAAAACACTTTCTGAAGTAAGTCTAACAGCAGTTTTAGGTGTGAATACCGTACGTGTTTGTGGTTTTGCATCTGTCCGCCAATAATATGGTCCATAAAATGATTATGGCAAAGTTAACCTTCCATTTTTTTCTATGAGCTGTTATATTTCCTGATTTAATTACTACCCAGTTTAATGAACTATGGCCTTAAACATGGCACGCTAAAGAATGAAAATGTGCACTGGTGTGCTTTGTCTCTTACAGTGCAACGCACAATGTGACTGAAATACATTACATGGGTTACAAGTGAATTCCCTTTATAAAAGACAGAAATGATATAGTGGATTTAGACTTGCCTTCTGACTGTAAAATGAGATTAGCATGTTTTGCATCAACTTGATTGATGGTATAGCAGTATGAGTCTTTGACAGCGGGTCTGAAAAAAGATCAGTCAATGTGACAAAATGCCGGTCGTTTTGTTCCAATTACAAGAATTGATGCAAATCAGATAAAAAAATACTTTTAACAAGCCTAGAAAAAGATAACAAAGAGATCTTTGGATTATCTATTCCTGATTTTGCCACCCAGTGATTCAAACCAAAACTGTCTGACAGTACGGTATGTCACCATTTTGAACCAGATATTTTGAGTCCTTTAACCTTTTTATAAGATGAACTATTTTCAGCACATGAATTTATGACATGTAGATTGAAACTGAACCAGAACTGTCACAACACTATCTTTTTAGAGAGAAGGAATTGTTCTAAGTATTGAAATGTAAATTATTTTCATTAAGCTGTGCAGGGCTGCATACACCAATGATATATTATATATAAAGCGATATTTCAATCTCAGACCATAATCCACCACAGATAAAGTCCCAGAAGCCTTCAGTTTGGAAAACAATTTAATACAGTAAAAATATTAACAATTTATAGCACACAGCTGATTTACTACTGGAAGATATTTTGATTACTGCAGGTGCACAAGCATATGTGCTTTACCATCTGGGCTTCATTTGAGAATACTTTTTTTTCCAACAGAGCACTACTGTAATTCCTCAGGTACTGAATGAATGATACAGAATAACTCAGACAGTGTTTATTATGGTTGATAAACATTTTACCTCTAAAGGGTTAACATTAAAGACCCGTGCTTTGAACAAACCCACACAGTATGCATTATTCATGAATTCAATGCATTTTTTGTTGATTTAGTAATTGAAATCCCTCCTACTCTCAGGCAGAACAGTGAAGCAGCACGCAATGCACTCTCGATTAAGAGCTGACCTCTGTGTGTCACTACCCAGCAGTACTCTGGCAAGCCTAATCTATCACAAATAAAGAGGTGAAACTGCCTGTGGTCTGACAACTGTACTCCACTCAAATAGGCCTCAAATTAGGGCAATTACTTAAAGTAACTACTCTTCAAAACATATACACATTAAATTAAGGATCTTCTTTTAAAAGGGATTCCCATTAAAAGGTATTTCCAGTCCAATTACAAAATTACAAAAAAACCTGTTTATTTTCTCCCTAGTTAAGGAAATGTTTTTTCAACACATCCTAACTTAAGCAAAGGGCATTAAATTATATGCTAATTTAGAAGTAAAAAAAGTGCCCATACATAAAGAGTTTGTAACTTTGTAGAAAATAACTTATTTATATAAGTCAAATCAAAATCATTCACTGTTTAAATGCCACATAGAACTGTTAAAATCCACCAGAAATATACACATATAGTCAAAGTGACATTCAACACAAACATGTGGCATTTTGCTGCACATTTTGTGTGCTGATAACCCCCATGCTTCATTAATGAGGGATGAGAATTAGTCTGTTTTTTACCCTGTAATGTAAATATATTTTTTATTTGATTAAAATAAAATCCATATATTGATGTGCCCAGTTAAAAAGATTCTCAGTGGCAGACAATGTGTGGTTGTGTTAAGAAGCACAAGGCAGATTCCATCAGCTTCCCTGACCATAACAATCCCTAGATTTTAATCCTTTTGGAAACTGGTAAAACTGGTGTAACATGCAGTTCAATGTCACATACTATTACTCTCGTCTCAACCTCAGCTGAAGGGAATCCAGCTAGAACAGCAAGATGAATGGAAAAACATCTTTGGAATGCATGCTATGTTCTGAACTGCTTCTGTTGCTCACAGTGGCTCAACATGTTACATACTACAAGTAACACCCTCTGGGGTCACAGTGGTTTTAAAGCTATTGCTATTGCTGTGGATTATGGGTATGACTATTAATTAGCTCTTGCTTTATCACAGCGCTTGGGAGAAAGATTTCTGTCTGTTGCAGTGAATCTGTAAGTGAAACAAAGTTCACAGCCTCTGCATAATACAAATATAAACACGTAATCTTTCTGCAAAATTAGTATGCATAATTAGTATTTATTTGTTGATTTTAACAGACTGAAAAAATAAAAAAGGAAATGTTGCCTATGCAAAAGATCACGCACCTTCCAGTTGGTTCATGACTACTTTTTTAATTTGTGTTTTTAAGGCACCAAATTTTGATTGAGTCGTTAGGCCTTAAGTGATGTTATCAAATATTCTGACCCTTCTGGCCTCGATTGCGATTGTTGTTTTGCCTACTTTCAGCAACCATTGGCACCTCTAAGCAGCTGAGGACTTGAAATAAGAGATAAGTCACTCTTACAAAGCAGGGGAAGGCTATAAAAGGTTGTTAACATTTCCAGCTTACAATTTCAACTGTCAGAAACATCATTAAGAAATTGAAGTTAAAGGAAACCTGGTCTCAAAGAACAGACACCTCACTCCAGTTCGCCACACCCTTATATACACTAGGCACAGGAGTTCATGGACAACACCTGTCCTCAATTAGCTCGAGGAAACCCTACAATTGGTACTAATTATCCCATGGCCCATTGGGAAATGTATTTCCACATCT